AGTCTTGTGCAAGGCCCAGTCGCGTAAGGTGCTTTCTAAGGTGCCAGTGCCCGGTGACCAATCCTACCATCAGCCTCAATTGTGCTCGGTCCAGGTTGATCAGCTCGGCACCTAGCTCCTCCGAAGGCCCTGAAAACAGAGCCTTCGTGTGCCTCATGCCAGGGCCTTGCACCCAGAGATCCCTGAAGCGGTCCGTAGCCCACTTCTTAGATCTCCACCGCATGAGCCCCTCTRACACGCTGATGTGGCATTGGCTTGCCAGATCGTGCCGTGAAGCTCCAAGTCTGGCAAGCTCGTGCGCCCTTTCGTTGCCCTGAACGCCACTGTGACCCGGCACCCAGAGCAACCTTACTCTGTTGTCACTGCCTAGCCGTGTCAACAAGTCTACACAGTCCTTCACCAGCCCTGACTTGACCACGGGGCTGTGTACAAGTCTGAACGCAGTGTGGCTGTCACTACAAATGTAGATGTGTTTGCCATAGTATCCCCTTTCGAGGATACTGTGGGCGCAGGCCCAAATGGCAAACAGCATTTATGGTATTTATTATGGAATAAAATATTATTTAATCAGACTTCTGAATTATAAAGAAAATATTAGAAAAATAAAATGAAAATATAAGATAGATTTATAAATAAAATCTATGTATTCGTAAAATGTCTCATACAGGTGTGTTAATTAACCTTTGCTTACCATCCTTCCTGGAGTAACACGCTTACCACACCCGGGTCTTTTGGACCCGGGCGAAAAAAATCGTTATAAAAGAAAAACTATTGCATAGATTTACTTCAACATTTTTTTGGAGACTTCTTTAATACTTACTTAAAAAGATTATATAGGTTTTATAGCTTTAAATTAAATTTAAATATGTTTAAAAAATTATCAAAGTTGAACAATTGAGAAAAATGACTCAAGTTGCAAAAAAGGTGTGGGTCCTTTGGACCAAGTGTGATAAGCAAAGGTTAAATACGAGTAGATATATTTTTACTTCCGTATGATCTTCAATTGTCTTATTATAAATCTTTGGTATTACCATAAACATTCATAATATGAGAATTTTATTAATTATTCTTATCAATCAATTGTTCAAAAATCAATTATTATAAGAATTAATTATTCTTACAAAAAAAAAAAAAATAAATCTAATTGCATTATGGTAATATACAAATATTTATTAAAAATACAAATAAAAGGAAAATATATTTATTTTAAGTTAATTATTTTAAGTTTGTGTGTGTGTGTGTGTGTGTGTGTGTGGTTGTGGAAAGATTATTTTTCTTTCTTTTTCTTTTATTTATATTTTTCATAAATAAAAAAAAAAAGCAACGAACAATCAATAATTATTCTTCGAGTCTAGATAATTAAATAAATTTTACAATAAATTTGAGTGCAATTACGTTCATATTGTTATTTATATTTAATAGAACGCAATTTTCGTTTTCTTCATAGACTATTGATAAAGTTGTATACATTTTTTCAAGGTCATGTGCGCGTCACTTTATCTTCCATGTGTCTCTCTCTTTCTCTCTCTCTCTTTTTCTTTTTAAATTTTATTCTAATGTTATTTGTCATAGTTAGTATGAAAAAATTATTAATAAACGGATATATATATATATAAATTCTTAATCCTTTACGTATGTGTATGGTTTTTTTTTTATACTTCTTCGAAAATCATTTTTCATTATAAATAATTAAGAGTAATTATTCTTTGACGTTTTAAAATGCGGTTTGTATGTCAATTTATTCTAATTTCATTAGCATTCTTCTTGCAAACAAACGTGTCGGTGCGTTTGCTTTATTTTAAACCTTTACGAAACGATAAAGGCATTTTTTTTTTTTATTCCAAGTTAACATTCAGAATTTAATGAGACGTTTTAATAAAACGATTTCTTTCTTCTATTTCAAATAACTAAATAATTAAATAACATTTAACACTTGTTAAATCGTTAATTGTTCAAATTTTGCATACATAATTACACACTCATCTTATATATATCTTTATTTGTTTATTAATTCATTCATTTAATGTGATTAGAATAATTCAATATAGTTGTACATGTTACTTTACATTTTTGGGTGACGTTACACATATTTAATGATTATTATCTATGTGTTGCGTATTAGAATAAACATGAGTAAATGATGTAACGATAATACTCGTCACTAAATTATCATATTATGTGTACAATTATTTATATTACTTTGAAAAGGAATAATACTCATATTAATATGATTGAGAATATTTGTACGAATCTACATTTTTAAATTCGTATGATTTCCCGCGTTACTTTTCATCCTTTTTTTAGAATTTCCTTCCCTGGTCACTAGATACGTTAAGGTGCGTTCTCCTTAACGCGAGGAACGGGCCGCGGAGAAAGGAATGGGCCAATGAGACTCCGTGTGGGGGAAAGAAACTTCCGATTACTATTTTTGATCCCTTGGGACGAGATTTTATTTACCGAGCGTGGTGTGCCACGTGTTAACGGAAAGATAATACAGAGAAATAATTTTTATACAAAAACACGATGAGAGGANGAGGAATGCGACCAGCCGGTACGACGGACGAAGTAAAAGTGAAGGTGTTTTTGCGTATGCACCGCCACGGCGATCCAGGCATCCGGAAATAGAGAGGGCAACGGTCGCAATGGTCACTCTGCCGCTCTGACCAATCAAAGGCGTGGTCAGGCCAATCAGATGCCCCTGCAGAGCCGCATCACGCGGTGCCCAAGTACGTTAGTGCTGGCGGCCGAGAGGTGTCAGCACTTTCCCCGCGCGCGATGCTACAGCTGCGCGCTGTAAGCCGAGAGGTGTCAGCACTGTGCTGGTGCGAGACGCCACACTTTCTTTAACAACTATTTATTTAATTATTAAACTTCTTTTTTAATGTCACGATTAATCAATTTGAACATAATTAATAAATGTAGCTAAGAATAAATTATTAAACGAATTATTTATTAATTAACAATATTATTGAATTTAAAAGAATATTTGTTTTCTTTCTGCATTCAAATTAAAAAAAAAATGTCGTCTTAATTCTGATTGGTTTATAGAAGTAATACGTCATTCAATGCACTTTCGAAGAAATGGGCACGCGATTTTTTTTCATTCGATATGCTAATTATTAATTATGCAAGCTCATATAAAAAATATTAACAATTTTCATTTAAAATTAACATAAGTATGTACTATTGTAAATATTGAAATAAAAAATATTCACAGAAATGATATGATTCTCGTTAGAATCATTCGACCAATCAGAACAAAGTATGAATAAAAGTAAATATCGTTTTCATAAACAAATTCATTTTTTTTAAATTATATTTATCATAGTGATATATTTCAATAAATATTATTTTTAGATTATATTATATATATATATATATATATATATATATATATATATATATATATATGTATGTGTGTGTATTTAAATATAAAAAAAAAATATTATACAATTCATGTTATACAATAATTATTATATAGGTTAGAAACACTGTCAGAAAAAGATCTCCACTATATTTATAGTATACATGATGTTGTAAATATTTTCTATTGAAAATAATTATCCAGTGCTATTTTGTAATAAATAAATAAATAAATAAATAAATAAATAAATAGATAGTTAACAAAATGAATAAAGTTCTTAATATTATTACAAGACGTTCAATATTACAAAACACTCGTTTGCTGTGTTCTAGTCATTATCAAATAAAACAACTTAATTATTATGTTAATAATGATATTTTGATGAACAATTGTATACAAAATGAAATGAATTGTTTTATTATTAAAAGATTTAAGCATAAGAAAAAAGGTTCATCAAAGGTAATTTCATTTACAAAACCATTGTTTATATTTGTATACATATATATATATAAAAATTGCATGAATACAAGTTTAAAAAATATTGCATTGTATTTGTCAGAAAGAACAAGTGGATGAAGATGAAGATGAAGATGAAAGTGATGTCGATTTGGATGAATCGCATTCTAAAAGTAAAATATTTGATATCAAGGTTAATTCTTTACGTTTAGATGCAGTCACCAAAGCTGGTGCTGGTATGACACGCAAGTAAGAAAAAAAATTATATTATTAATAATAATAATAATAATAATGTATGATTAAAAAACAGTAAAACAAATTTACAAATCAATGTTGTTATGTTAAAATATAGAAAAGTAGAAGACGCCTTTTTTGAAAGTAAAATTTACATTAATGGGAAAAAAGCACTGAAAATATCTACAGAGGTAAATACTTGTTATAATCTAAATAATATATCAAATTACATATATATATATATAAACTATTATTAATATTAAACAAATAATCTGTGTACGTATATATATATTTTTATATGACAGGTTAAACTTGACGATGAAATTGATATTATTGTTAATCGACCTATTGATAAGTTGAATCAATTGATAGTATCTCGAATTAAAATTTTATCTATAAGTGCAATATCTGGTGCTATTAAAATAAAAATATGCAGAGATAGAAATTTATTAATTGACGAATATTCTGATTCATAGTAGTAGTAAGTAAATATATTAAAAAAAGAAAATTAAATTTTCATATTAGAATATGTAATAAGTTATCTTATGTATAAGTAAATAAAAAAATAAGAAATATACATTTAAAAAAAAAATAATATAAACGATTATGTGTGCGTTTCTACTGCGGAGGTTCCTCTTTCATTACATTTTGTTTTAATATTGTGATACACTGAAAAAAAAAAAAAAAGAAAGAAATAAAAATCATTAAATTGGAAAAAATAAAATATATATAACTAATTACATTAGATTAAATAATAAAATATTTATACTTACATATGGAATTCCAAGTATTCCCTTTGATGATAAATCATTCAAATCGTCGATAATATTTTGCACATTTGAGAAAGTTTTGATACGAGCAAAAAGAAATAATTTATCAGTAGCATTTAAATATGGTAAGAAAGCGACTGCTAAATGTGGTTGTTGAGATATAAAGCAATAATTTAAAATATCATTGAATTTTAGCTCATATGTAACAGGACACGAATACAAAAGACAGAATGCAGTTATGCAATCGTCTATTTGGTCTGAAGATGGTTTTATATCCATTTTACTGAATGGTTCAAGTATAACAACTTGCCATGCTAATTTATATCCTTTACATGTTGTAACGATACTTGTTCTACTTATTCGTGGTAAAATTTCCATCAATTCAATTACCTGAAAGAGATTTTTTTTTGTTTCAAACATTTAATGATATTATAAATTATTGTAATATTAAATAGAAATAATAATAATGAAATTTTTCTTTTTTTTTTTTTACCATGACTAATCTAGCCATTTCTGTTAAACTTTTATCCCAAATAGTACAATCATATATATTGTAATCCATACAAATTTCTGCAATTAAAATCAATGCTTGTTGAGAATGATATTGAGTGTTTAATAACATTTGTACAAGTTCGTGTTTAGAACTTGTTTCGAACGTGGTTATATCGTATCCTAATCCTAATGCTTCCAATTTGCTTACGTATTTCAAAATTTTTGTATATTGTCTGTAAAATGATATATGAAAGATCATAATGCGTTTTTAAATATATCAAAATATGAATGAATTGTATATAAGATTGAGTTATACCTAACAGTTGTTATTTCTCGTTTTGTTATGTCCTGTAAAGTTGTTGGATCTATGATCGATTGCAAAATGTCCAATGCTCTGTATCGCATTTCAGTACTATAATCATTTTCAGGATTTTCATTAAAACCAATATCTATTAGAAAATGTACTGACAAATCAACGTTTCCATGTTGTAGTATGTAACAAGCTCTGCAAAAAGATTAATACACAATATACAATATTATTCTATAATTGAAATTATAATACGTTACTACCTGCATAAATTAGTTTCAGAATTCAAACTGTGATTTGTTTGTTTTAAAGTACAAAGTACATCGGTAACACTTTGATTGAATCCAACTTGTTGAATAGCATCTGGTTGTAACCATTCTTGAAGTAATTGAAAACGTAGTTTAATTAAATTCAAATTAAAAAGATGGCCTAAAGCATCAATGGCTGAATTGATATCTGGTCTAATATTAATTGCACTTTGATATCTTAATGGTATACTATCATCCATATATAATGCATGAACTAACTCATGTGGATACGAAATCAATGAAATATAATTTTCTTTTCCTAAACCGTGTGATCGTAATATATGTTCAGCTGTGAATCTTTCATATTTAAATCGAATTTTCTGCAATAAAGAAAGAATTATATTAATCAATAATATATTTAATTATTTAGAAATAGAACAAACAACAAAAAGTCAATATTTACTTCTAATAAACCTTCTTCAAAATTGGTCGATCGTTTAACCGCCAATTCGGCAAATTTGAAACATTGCTTTATTGCAGCTACTTGATCAGCACCTGTAATTTTTTGTTGTTGACATTATATTATTATTTACATAATATATTAATAATAATATGAGATTAATTATATAAATATACCAGGAGGTGTATAATTAACAACGTAATATAATGCAGCAGTAGCATAATATAACGCGTCTGATCCCATTCGTTCGATACACTTTAATACATTTTGAAGGAAAATATTATTTTTAGGATAAATCGACCATTCCATAGTTTTTCTTCTGCTATTCAAAGGTCCCCATTCTTGAATGACTGCTTCCTTTATGGCTACGGTACATAATATATGTGGTTCTAATTTGATTATAGGTACGATAGTCAACCATTTTTCATAAGACTTTAAATTTAATTCAGATGCTGTAATAAAAATAAATCAAATGATTATTAATAGGTTTATTATTTGAAATATGATGCAGTTATGGAATGGATTTTCTTACTTATTAATTTCCAAATCTCAATTTTGGGTAGAAAAGGTAGTCTATGTTCTGAAATAGCAGGTAACGATTTATATTCTGGACTAAGACGAACCCATTCTTCCTGTTCTACCAACGTAGGTTGTCTAGAAAAATAACATTAAATAGAATGTTTAATATGTGTTTATATTAACTTTGATATTTTGTATTACTTTACCCGCATCTGGTATAATTTTGTAAAAAACAAAAATAATTTCTCGTTTCGCTGCTTTCTATTTCTGCCAGATCCAATAAAATAATAAATGCTTCGTAATGATAGAAATTAATCTGCGTTAAAAGAAAATAAAACATATGAGACGAGACACATGATATTAAATATTATTTTGTAATAATAATAAAAAAAAAAAAAAAACTTACTTCTGACAATATACTTTTAGCATATTGTTTGAATGTACTTTTATCAATAATTTTGTTTACCACGGTAGTACACTTTGCTCTTAATTTATTTACCTCCTCTTCGGGAATTTGTAATTCTGTTGAATTATCGTATGTGTGTGTTGGTATGAGTAGAATAAAATTATTTCATTTAAAATAAATTAACTTTTAAATATAAATTATGTTGCAATTATAATATTCACCTTTTTCTCCATTGCAATAAGAAATTTTAAATGTTGGATTCCAATTATTTAATAATACTTTTAAATAAAGTTTTAAACAATCATCTATATCAAATCCAAATGATTTACAAAAATCTTCAAGAATAGAAATGGTGTTTTTATTATTATTGTTATTCATTAAACGTGTTAATATTTGTCTTTTCTTGTCATTGTCGCTGCTAAAAATTTCTGTAAATAAATAAATGTAGATATTTCTTTTTTTTTTTACATTTATAATTTTATTTTATTTATTAAAACAACGAAATTCTATACAAACCTCTATATGCAATGGAATAAGCAGTCAATCTTTGTGCCCAATAATGTAACATTTTATACCATTTAACTGATTCCAATTGTGATTGATTTTGTTGTAAATTAAAGTATTCGCAAGCTAATATCGAAACAGTACTGTATTTTGCATAATCTGTTAATCTGAAAGAATACAATTAATGTTAATATTATTATTGATAAAAATATTTTTTACATGTGTGATTGTTATACTTACGATTTAGATGCTTCATCATCAGACAACATAAAAAGACAAGTCAAGCCAAGTAGTAAATCAAATTTAGGAGCATTTATAACTCTTTTCAATAAATTTTGTATACTCTGTGATAACATAGATTTTAATTTATTTAACATATCATCTTCTTGGATTTTCAATGAAAAACAAAAACTGAAGTATAATGTTTTAATTATTTGAAATAATGCGTATTCCTTATGTATCGTAATAATGTTCTTCATTTTCATAAGCAAATCATTCAGCAATTCTTCTATTGTATTCTAAATGTAATAATATAAAATTTCAACATTTCAATTTATTATAAATAATATAATATATACAGGGGGTGATTCTTAAAACGGAGGAGGGAAATAACTTTTTTTTTTAATGCGCACATTCTATTGCGCTTTTTTTTACATTTTTCATTACATTTTTTAATTGATTTGAATTGACATTGGAACAATATGTATAATACATACAATACATAGGCTCCTTATAAAACTTCAAATATCTCGTAAACTATTGACATTTCGATGACCTTCATCTAAGACTTTTTAACGCAGAATAAAAAAAAGGAATCGAACAGTGTAAAAAAAAAAATATAAAGTTCCATTTAAAAAAAAAAGTGCAACTGCATCTAGCGGGTGCATCAATGCATTTTCACAAAAAGTAGGGTCACAGAAAGTTGACATTTGTTGTGCCATTTAACTTTTTCCACTATGATTTGTTTCTATTGTTACTTAAAAAAAAAAATTATTTCCCTCCTCCGTTTTAAGAATCACCCCCTGTATATATGTATATAAATAATTATAATTGAAAGTACCTGTTCTTGAATGAAATCTTCATTAATTATTGTTGTTGTTGTTGTTGTTTTGTTTGCTATACAATATAATAGAAAATTGTTAATATATTATATATAAAGTATATAAAAACATTTTGTGATATATTTTCAATTATTACTTACGTATAATTTTAAAGTTTGTATAGTTTATAACAATAGATAATACATCTTTTATTACGGTAAAAAATAATGGTTCTAATGATATTACAAGATCATTATACATCGTGTATAATTTCAATTGTGATTTATGTATCTTTTCAGTATTTTCATTTGTAGTATTTGTGTTATTTGTTGCTAATGATTTTGAATATAAATCTGCTAAATTATAATACTTAAGTATACATTCTATTTCATCTAAAAACAAAAATAATTCAATTATAAAAATTAAACGATAAAATACAATGTGCTTTTTTTTAAACACTTACATCCAGTGCAACAGTTTAATGCACAAGCGCATAAACTTTTGATAATTTTTGCAGTATCTACATTTACTTTTACATTGTTTAAAGTTAATCTACATACATCTTTCACGTATTTGCACTCGTCTGCTGTTATATCAACGTTTGATTTATCAAATCTAGAAAATAATAAAAGATGTATTAATAAATTATTGTTTTCGAAATATAATATTATGTAAACTTACCCAGTTAAATGTTGTAATATGTCAAAATTTTGTGTACTTTCTAATAATACAGAGATAACTTTCAGTCTTGGTAATTTTAAAATATCTCCAAGTTTAACAGCTTTTGCGTATGCAGTCATAGTTGATAAAGATTGTACGTTTAATTCTAAAGAAATAATATTTTATTACATTTAATATCTTCGTTTTTGAAATTATAAAATTATTCTTATTATTATTAACTGGCATTAGGAACTCGAAAGTTCATTGCCGCAAATCCCAAATCCCGCCTTTGTTTCCGTCCCTGAGCGCGATTTTTCCATTCGCGGTCTTCATATCCTAATTCTTTTAAGTCTCTTCTAATATTATCCTCCCATCTACGTCTCGGTCTACCTAGTGGTCTTTTCCCATTTGGTATACCGACCAATATTTTGTGCGCCGTTCAATCCTCCCCCATGTGCGCCACGTGACCAGTCCATCTTAATCGGCGTGATTTTACGACGTTGATAATGTCCGGTTTGTTGTACAATTGATGTACTTCAACGTTATGGAGTTTTCTCCATTCGCCTGTTTCCTCATCGCGTTTTGCGCCAAAGATTTTACGAAGAACTTTGTTTTCGAAAACCCTAAATTTCTTTTCGTCCCGTAAAGTAAGCGACCACGATTCGCTACCATAAAGAACTACCGGCAGGATGATTGTCCTGTATATCCTGATTTTTAATCGCCTAGACAGCAACCGCGAGCTGAGTAATTTGTTAACTGAATGGAAACATGAATTGCCTAGATTGATTCTTTTCTTAAGTTCTTCGTTAATTTCGTTTGTCTGGTTTATGATCGATCCTAAATATATACCTAAAGTTGCTGACCCGCTCAAAAGTTTTATCCCGGACGACCAAAGTTCCAGTACTAGGCCTATTCTCAACTCTATCGGTTACCATATATTTGGTTTTTTCCGCGCTTATTTGCAGTCCCAGATCTTTAGTACTATCTATAAATATTTTTGCATTATTAATTAATGCCTGTTCATTGTCCCCTAACAAAGCAATGTCGTCCGCGTATATCAACAATTGTGTTGTCCCGTTCAACTGTAGACTGTCTTTACTTTTCTGCAGTTCTTTGACAACGAATTCCAGTACTAAATTGAACAAAAGGGGTGACAATGCGTCCCCCTATTTTAACCCGCTATTATAAAAATTATTTGATAAAATAATTTGTTTATACCATTACTCAAATTTGCGATACAAGTCTGTAATATTTGATCCTTTTCAGCATACAATTGACCAAGTGGAACAATAATATTGAATTCTTTTTTAATTCTATATAAATCTTTAACTGCGTTCATTCTTTTTACAATGCTTTGATAATAATATCGTTTAATTTTAGATTCCATTAACATTTCTTGTAATTTTGCATCGATCCAACTTAAACATTCGAAATAATTTTCTATTGATTCAGGAATGTCCTAAAAAAAAAAAAAAATACATTTTATTGAAAGTTAATGAAAGAAACACACATGTTTTATAAATTAAATCACAGTACAAAGGGGATTAATAATAATATTCATTTTTATATATCAATACCTTTAAAGTAAAACTAGAAACGATATAATTAACGATTCTCTCACAGCAATAAAGAAGAACAACATCGTCATCCATATTGTTTAAAATTTCAAATGGTATATCAAAATTTCTGTAATACGATGATAATACGTGAGATTAATGAATTAATCGATTAATTTGAATAATAATTTAATTCACTTACCCTCGTGTTAAATAATAATTAATACAAGACGATAATGCATTTTTTCTTAATAAAGCATTATTTTTAGTTAATTCATATAAATCGTTGATCATTTCTTTATCATTTTTTTTGATAATATAAAATATTAATTTCTAAAACATACAATTTTGAAATTATAAAATACTCTCTTGCAGTTTCTTTTGTATATTTATAATAAATGATATTGTATATATATACTAACATCGTTAATACCAATTTTTGCATAGCCATACTTCTTTAATATAAACTTAATTGGTACATAATCTCGTTCAATTTTAATTTTTGTCGATAATGGATGTTCAAACTTTGTACTTATTTCTGCTAACTGTGATATAGTTGGACTCCATGGAATCGGTGCTTTTTTTAATATCTCTAATGTTATCTTAAGTCGATTCTGTAAAAGATAATTATTATTTTATTTTCTTATAATAATTATTATTTATAATTATTCATTAATTTATACCTGAATATCATGTATAAATGTGATAACAACGGCTACTCTCCTTTCCCAAACAACTTCTTCCCATGACCACCAATCTTTTGAAAACTTATATATAAGTTTCTATATAACATTTCAATATTACGATTTAATGTTTTAATATTATTTGTGTATATATATATATGTATGTATGTATAATGTAATACTTACTTGAATATAAGAAGAAAATACTACATCATTTTCTAATGAGTGATTGAGTATATATTGTTTTAAAAATTTATTTATGAATTCGTGAATACCTTCGATTGGTATTTTATTTAATAACAAATGTATTACGTCTATCGGATCACCGATGTAAGAATTGATTGGCACCTTTAATCTGTAAACAATATTTTAATACTATTTATATAATTCTTATAAAAAGGCTCAAAAGGCGGGAGATGAGGGGAAAGAAGGAAAGGAGGAGGTTGAAGGTAATGTAAAGGGATTGTAAACCTTCGGGGAAGCAAATGGAGATTATTCAATATTCTTTAATTTTTATCAAAATTTGATTATAACTATAACTTACCTATAATCATTTTTTAATACTTTTAAATCGTGTAAACTTTGAACGATATGCATAAACGATTTGAAGGTTGAACTTTCATTAATATTTTCTTTATAAAAATACAAAGGTGGATTTTTATTGAATTTTAACAAAGCTAAAAATTTATTAGCAAAATCTATGCCAATTTGTGGCCATTGTTCGGATTGAAAATTTTCTAAAGATATTATCTTTTGACAACCCCAAGTAACCATGTCATCTATCGATGAGGGTAATAATGATAATAGAGAAGGCATAAAATTTGATAACCATGCCCATAAAACATTTAATGAAATTTTATCTGGTATTATTTGTAAAATATTTCGTACGGTTTGAATTGATAAATTTTGTTCTATGTCTGGCAAATGTCTTGACCAAATTAAAGCTGCAGCTTCTAGTTCTCCCTATAAATAAATAAATAAATAAATAAATATATTATTTATCAAGAAGAGTATTATAAAATATAAAAAATAATTTAGTTTAGTTTACCTTAGTCAAACGAATTTGACATTCTTCGAATAAATCAGCTCGTGAAAAGCGTAACCATTCGTTCAAAGTTTGATCCAAGGTATATTCGTTAACAATTAATGTTTCGTAAAGTATTTCAAATGTTTCTAACTTATGAACAGCAGTATTTATAGATTTAAGAAGATTTATATGTTCATTTTGTATCATGTTCATATTATCCTATAAAATTATAATATCTAATTTAATATTAATATTACAATAAATCATTTATATTATTATAAAGATTTCAAAAAAAAAAAAAAAAAATGATTACCTTGTTATTATCAACAATTCTTTGTCTAGCGTATAAAAGTAATTTTTTCATTTGTTTGTAATCAATCATAAGAGCATTTGTGCAACATGTAATAATAAATTGTAAATTATTTATTTGATTTAATGTATTTATCAAAACATTTAAATTAATCTCCTCCGATGTTTTCTTAGACCAAGGATTAAGTTGTTCCACCAATAACATTGCTTTTGAAATATGAATACTTTCCAAAGATAGATTGAACCTTTTAGCAAAATTTTCAGCTTCTTCGAATCGTCTTCTCTTTAATAATCTTTCCAAACAAAGACTTGGTGCACTTTCTACTATACTTTTGATTCTAATCGTATCTATGTATTTGCCATTGGTTATTTTTTCTATGAATAATATTGATCTGATAGATGAATTCAATGTGTTTACTAAAGCTGTAGTCAAAGGTACATTTGTTATCTGAAATTTTTCTTCAAAATCTGAAATATTACAATGGTGTATATTGTTTAGAATAATATTACTTTTAAGTATAAAAAAAAAAATAAAAAAAAATAGAATAGAAAATAATCAATCAATTTACCAGGGAAAGAAACCAAACGTAAAGTTAACGTATCCTTATTTTCATTTTTTAATAAAAGTAAAATTTCGGAATAATTGTCACTTTCGTCAATAATTAACATAAAATCTGATACTTTTTCTTTGTAAATTTGTTTACCAATTAATGTTTTAGTACAAACTATTCTCATTAAGTTATCCGAACATAAACATAGCATTGCACTGAAATATATATATATATATAAAAGAATATTAGAAAATAATTATAATAAACGTTTGCTTGCAGAAACTTAGTTAAAACTTACTTGAACTTTTTAAGAATTTGAATTTTTTGATAACCAAACGACAAAGCAGTCAAATCACAAGTATTTTTACTTGGCCAAGTAAAACATTTATCTTTTTCTATAAAAATAAAATTGGAAATATCTGATGCAACAACTACTGCAGAAAATTTCTAAAAATTATAAAAGAAACATTAATCAATGCTTTATTTACATCTATATATTAGATATTATTTTTTTTTATATTACCTCGTGTTTATCGGTTCCATCAAAGTCTATATCAACTTGTAAACTTTTTTCAAATGTTTTCTGTAATTCAGTGTTTTCGTAATCAATAACATTGTTGATTAATTCTTCGGTAGAAGGGAAAGTAATTCTGAAATATTTGAATTTATATGAGAACCATTTAAAAATAAGAAACATGTGTGAGTCTTATTTATATTACAATACCTATAAATAATTCCTCTTCTATTAACGAGAATAATTTGCATTGAATCGTCACCATTTTCATCTAATAATATTTTCGTAATATCCACATGATTGTTCGTGACACGAAATGTATTTCTAAAATAAGATAAGAAAAAATAATTCAATCAATATCGATGATGATTAAAGTGTTAATTAATATTTTATATGTTCATTGTTTTACTCACATAGAGAACAGAATTTTAGTTTCTTCTATTAAATATAAACAAAAAAGCATTCCATTTTCTAATAAGACGTATAAAAATTCTTCATTTTTGGATATACAACAAGATGTTATTAAAAAATCAAATGCAATATTTAATAATATGTTTTGACATGTTTCATCTTCAAATATTGTAATAGATTTATCTACCACTATACACAGTCGAGTATATTGCAGAAAAGCTTGAATAGTTGGTTCATTTTGGACCTAATAAAAATGAAATTAAATTATTAATATTATTTGTTAACAAATCTTTGTAAAAAAAACAAAAAAAAAGAATTGATAAAAAGGTTTTTAAATTTCATTTACTTCTCCATCCGTTTGAATTGATGCAAGTGTGACAGTTTCATAAATGGATGTTTTACTTTCTACAACTTGTCTTTTTCCAAAATTAATAGTCTCATCTTCTGTATCAAAACCTGATAAAACTTTATTCCACAAAGCCATTTTTATAATTGTTTTATAACTAAAACTATAAACATAACATTTTCATAACAATCATATAAACATATTAATGCTATATAAATATGTGCATATATATATATACATATATATGTACCTTATCTTATATACATATATATATATATGCACCTTAAATGTAATATTTTATTATTTGATTATTTTTCTGTATAAATTTGTGCAAATTATTCAGTTAGAAATTCAAATAATTCAAAAATGTTCATTCTAGTGACAAAATACATTGAAATTTGGTATAGATGGTGTTGTTGTTTTAATAGTTACCAATGCACCAATCAGATGATTAGTTCAAAAATTTTTACACTAGAGATAAAATGCATTGAAATTTGATACAGATTGTGTTGTTGTTTTAAGAGATTATCAATGCACCAATCAGCTGATTAGAATTGCAGTCATTCATAGTTACCAATGCACCAATCAGGTGATTAGATTTGCAGTCATTCATTGTTACCAATGCACCAATCAGGTGATTAGATTTGCAGTCATTCATTGTTACCAATGCACCAATCAGGTGATTAGATTTGCAGTCATTCATTGTTACCAATGAACCAATTAATTGATTAGATTTGATTGTAGATGGCACAATTGTACCATCCAATACATTATCTGAATTTTTATTAAAAAGAGACGTAACAAATAATCTGATAATACTTTTTAAAAATAATAGTCATTTTTGTCAGTAACTAATAAAGTTGTAATAATAATTAATTTATTCAAATAAAAAACAATATTGGTAAAACAAAACAAAAAATAATTATTGAAAAATAAAAAAACATTTAAAAGCTAAAAAAAAGGTTTGAAAAAATTAACAAAAAGAAACATTGATATAATGGTTTCAAATTAAAAAAAACAGTGAGTTTGAAAATTTATTATATTAAACTTTTTAAAAATATGTTAAAATACGCATTTCAAATAATTTGTTGTTTGTATATAATTAATCAAAAAATCTTGAAATTTAGATGCAGTCAAATAACGTGAACAAGTCATTTGAAACAAAAGTAATGTATCATTAATTATTAAATATTAGATACATGGTGTAAAAAGAATAGCGAAGACTAAATAACAGTGAGGAGACATGTGCAGATGTTACGCAGTACATTTAGGTGGATGACAGGTTCTTCAAATATGGATTCTAATAAAGATAATGACAGTCTCACCATCAGTGAGATTAAAGATGAATCTGTAGGTTCTGATTCTATAGAGGTTAATAAATATTTTCATTGATCATATATTTATTATTATTTTGTCTAATTCATATTTGTTATATTACATGTATTTTATTAGGTGGATAATTCAAAAACAGTTTTATTAAAAATAGCAACATTATATGCAGAACGTCTTATGAATGATATATGTTTGGTTGTTGATGGAGTAGAATACCCAGCACATCGTCTTATTCTTTGTGCTTCTAGTGACGTTTTCCAAGTAAATATATATGATTTATTTGGATGATTCAAACACAAGTCCTATAATGGTGTTAATCAATTTGTTTAAATCATAGGTTATGTTAATGAGCCCACAATGGAGCGAATCTCAAGAAAGTAGAGTAACATTGCAAGAAACTCCTCAGTGTGCACCTATATTTAGTGAATTTTTGCGATACTTATATACTGGTCAAATAAGAATTAATCATGGAGTAGTACTCCCAATCTTATCTTTAGCAGATAAGTATAACGTTAAAGATTTAATATCGTTGTGCCTTGATTACATGCAAGATCATATCGCTTTGGCTGCAATACATGGCACATTGGTATCATGGTTACAGTATACTTCTAATTGTGGTCATCGGGATATTACACAATCATGCCAAAATTTTATTAAATGGAATTTAGAATTAGTCGCCAAAACGTCAGACTTTGGTAACTTTGATCTTGATATTTTAGTGTCTATGTTACATCAAAGTAGTTTAGTTATAAAGGATGAAATGACACTTTATAAGTGTTTAGAATCGTGGTTGGTTCATCAGGCTAATAGATTAAAAAATCAATTGTCGCCGGATGATTTGGAAGCTACGTTGAAACAATTGGTAGTTGATGTTATGTCCCTAATTAGATTTCCTATGATGTCACCTAGACAATTGGCAGAATTATTATTATCACCTTTAACCAAAAAGTACAAAGAATTTTTTGTTGAACGTATGTCGATAGGAATGTCTTTTCATTCTGGACAAATAGATAGAGTTAAGGAAGTTTGTTTGAACGAAGAAGATGGTTGTTTGTTATTCGAACCAAGACTTTACACAGTCGACACTTGTAGTTCTTTACTAACGATAGAAAATTTTCATGAATTACCATCTTATCATACAAGAACACTTGTATTTTCCAGTCATTCATGTCTGGCAGAATATGCCGGTGACAAGGCATGCGAATGGGTTGTTGATATTTATCCTAAAGGTGTTTGGTTCAAAAAATTTTTCCTTATCGTTTGGCAAGGTACCGTTGAAATGCCAGAACACGTCAAACGTTCTGTTAGATTGTCTTTAACTTGTAAAGAACCACCGGTCAATGATGACACTGATATGAGAGTTAAAATAGGTGTTTTAATATATGGTCTTCAAGATGGAGTTGAACATATTGCAAGAGTGACTGAAATTATACATAGATTTAGTACAAAAGAACGTGTTCTCAATTTGGACGATTTATTACCATTTGAGGAACTTAATCCTCGATTACGTACTATAACTGATAACACAGTATCACCATTCTTAGTTGGGCCCAATAAAGATACACTTAAATTACACATAGTCATTTCTCCAGCTAATTAATGTCTGTCTTAACGAATATTAATATTCTATTGTATTAGGAATATGTTTGAGAAAAACATCAAACAAATAATATTTTCTCTCTATCTCTGTCTCTAGGTAAATATGTGTTCTTTGATATCAGATAATTTCTTTTTTTTTTATTTATAATTTAACGATTTTTTTCATTGTTAAATGGGTGACCAATTAATTTAAGATGTATTTAAAGTAAGATATTCAACGTGAATCATTGTAACAGATCTTGTTTGTTTGTTAATTATATAACATAGGGATATCAATTTTTTTTTTTTTAATATATTTTTAATAAGAAAAAAAGATATATTTAAATTAATATAATAATTTTGATCTATTTTATGTATTATACGTAACGAATCACAGTAAAGTATATATACCTATGTATATACATCTTATATATATATATGTATATATATATATATGTATATTAGTATTATTAAAGTTTCTTGTTTGAAATTATGATTTTTATATTAGAAAAAAAGCAAACAAATAAGATTAAAGATAATAAATAATAACTGCACAATTAATAATTAAGTATATTATTGTGATTAAATCTGAAATCAATCAAAGTATCAAAAATTTGAAATATTAGAAATGACAAAAATATCGTCGATGTACATAATTGTGTCAAAATAAAGAAGATAATTCTTAGATCATTTTATGAAGATAAAATAATAATGTGAAGTATTTTAAAGCTTTACGAGAAAAAATATTACATAAGAAAATAAATCCCTTGACTGTTTATGTAATGTTTGAAATTATATAATTAACTTCCTAAATGGTATTCTATATTCTTCATTCCTATTTTACATAAATAAGATTTTTCTCATATTAAATTTATGTATAGAATATATAGATGTATTTAACAAATATTTAAACGTTAAATGAGATCTGTATTTTTTGTTTTTTTTTTGTTTTTATTATAATTATTACACACCAATAAGTTTGCGAAATAATAATCTTAAATGAATTATGTAGAAAACTGCCTAAAAAGAAAATAAATTACGTGTAATAAATTTCATTCTTAAAGACAACATGCAAAAATGCATCCCCCACAGTCTACTGCTGACTATAGGTGACATCCAAAAAAATCTTCTCTAGTCTACTGTAGACTACTGGTGGTATTTTAATTATGCTCTGCATATGTAGAAAGGTTCAAGGATTCTATTGATACCTGATAGTGGTACCTACGTCAATTTTTTATGGGTATAATTAGTCTTGAAAGTTAGCATTAAATGCATCACCCGCAACCTATTGCTGTTTATAGATGGCATCAGAAAAAATCCTCTAGGGTCTACTGTAGACCACTGGTGGTATTCAAATTTTATTCTGCAGATGTAGAAATGTTTAAGGATTCTATTGATACCTGGTAGTGATACCTACGTCAATTTTTTATGGGTATAATTAATCTTCAAAGTAAACATTACGCTAGTGCCACGCATGGAAAGTTAAATGGCAACATAAAATTAGAAAAATAAAAATAAAAATTAATATTTAATTAATTGGATATGAAAAAATATTTGAACAAACATCATTTACTTTTTGACGTGATCTTTATTTGCTAGAAATCTTTTCAAACGGAAAAATCTGATTCGTTTATCGTTTAACATAGGAATAAATTCATACTCTTTATGGTTGCCGCCATTATAATTCAAGTTGTTTTGTCGATGATTAGCAAATAAATAAATATCAAATAATAGATTGTAAAGCAACGCAGCACCATAGTAAATTGCAAAGTTGTACGATTCGTACACACACACACACACACACACATACGTTCAAATTTTCGTAGATTTTCTCTAACGAGTACAAATGATACTAATCTTTGAACGGATGACCTCGACGAAACTCTTTGAGAATTTATAATTCATTTTTATACATGCACTCAACACATGCACACATACATACATACATACACGCATACAATATTCTCTCTTTTTTTATTTTGCACAAGTAAAACGCCGACAAACTTAGCGTCAGTTTAACTTTGTTTTTCTTCTTCTTCTTCTTCTTCTTCTTTTTCATTTTTATCACACACATTTTTATTTTATAAAGATAGGAATAGCTACGGGGCATAACACGATATATTTTTATATTTATATTATATATTATATATATATATATATATTTTTTTTTTTTTATAAGTATGATTTGTTAGTACTCTTTGACGAATTAATTTTTATTTTTTAATTAAAATGGGATTAAGTTAATTAATGGCATAGAAGAAATGCAGAAAATGATTAAATTTAAATATAATATCCTTGTATATTCGAAAAAGTATTATTATGTTCAAAAGAAATAAATAAATATGAAATATATTAATCCTTTGAGTGTTGAATACTGTTAACTAAAATATTTTGTAGCAATAGAATAATTTATTATTCATTAAATTCTAATAATAAATTAAAGTTTTTGTTTCTGAATATAATTTAATTAATTAATATAAACATAACATTATTTCCGAATGGCACCAACGTGGAACCATCGGCATTTATCCGATAGTTTTCGTATGGCACCAACGTGGAACCATCGGCATTTATCCGATAGTTTTCGTATGGCACCAACGTGGAACCATCGGCATTTATCCGATAGTTTTCGNTTTCGTATGGCACCAACGTGGAACCATCGGCATTTATCCGATAGTTTTCGTATGGCACCAACGTGGAACCATCGGCATTTATCCGATAGTTTTCGCATGACACCAACGTGGAGCAACCGGTCGTTATAGACGGACATAGTGGTCCAGATAGACCACTCTGGTAATTTTTACCAAACGCATATATGCGTCCATAGCACTCTAAGGATTAATAAAAGTAAAATATTCGTTTACTATCTAATATTTGTCTTATTATACTCATAAAATTGTATATTACAAATGGCGTGTCCTTAGAAGAAGGGATGAGTTAAATTAAATCACATTTACTGCATTTGTTCTTTCCATTTAATACGATGTCTACTTTCTGCATTGATTTATATCACGAATTTTATCGTATATATAAATGTATTTTGATAAAAACAATTATATGTGTATATATATATATATATATATATGATCAAGGTTAATATTTGTTAAATAAGAAATTGATTAACGTTTGAATATTGAATTTCGTGATAAACGTGAAATGAACATAATAATTATGTGCAAAAACAAAACAAAAAACAACAACATTTTATGAATTCGTTAACTTTTGTTAATCCTCTAAAAAGCCAATTTATTGTTTTTTTTTTAATGTTTAAATATAAATTTGTTTTTTTTTATTTATTATATTTTACTTATAAAACATGTTGTATTGTAAAATATTGTTGAAATAAAATTAATACAGTCCATGTATAATATAATATTATTGTTTTATATATAAAGTATTAATAAAAATAATAAATATAAATTTTTCGTTTGAAAATAAATATGTAAAAAAAAATGATATTAGTATTAATATTAAATATAATAGTATAGTATAATTATAATAATAGTTATGTTAGTGTAATAAGTACTCATTTTTTTGTTATATGTATTATTAATAGTATATATACTCCCTGTATACTATTATTATTATTATTATTAGTACATTTATATTAATATTAATATCGCAGTGAATACTAGATTAGTATTACTTGTGTGTGTATTAGTTTAAATATTAATATACTACTACACCACAAGTAATATACATAAATTAGTATATTATTTGTAATAATAGTAATAGTTGTTGTAATAATAATAATTATAGTAATGTATTCGTATAATTATACTATACTAAAATTTCATAATTAATATTTTAAAATTCACAGTAAATTTCTGATATGAATTAACAATGAAATTAGCAATAAAAAAGATTAAACAACAAATTTTTTTTTATTACATAATCACATGCATTTAACATATAATATGGCTTTGTAGAGGATTAATAATTATAATAATTATTATACTCTTATCTTTTTCAGTTTCTTTTCTTTTCTTTTTTTTTTTTTTAACCCTTAATTTTCCTTTTTCTCTTTTTCTTTTTTTTTTATATTTTTATTTTTATTTATTTTTATTTTTCTAATTTGAAGTTAGTCGTAGCACTTGTGCGTATTTCGTCAATGTCATTTAGCGAGTCACAAATAGGATATTTAATACGAAGAATGTCATTACTAAAAAATAATTATTGAAGTAATCAAAGTGGCACGATTTTCAGTATCTCTCTATCTCTCTCTTTCTTCCTTTTTTTTACTATCTTTCTCTTTTTTTTATTTGTTTATCATTCATTAGTGAATATCAATCATTTCTTCACTGACTAGAATAAATTTAACTAACATTTGCTACAATTTACAGTCAGTCAGTCTGTCTCTGCGCATGTGTGTCTATAATGATGATTTAAAAATTGTATTTTAAATTTGTTTACTATTTTTTTTTATTTTTTTTTTTTATTAAGATATCATTTTGTCATGGCTATTACCATAATCTAATAGTCTTTAAGACTGGTAGTTAGTAATAGTAGCAGTAATAGTTTAGTAATAGCAGTAGTTAATAGTAGAATTATTGATACATATTGCAAAAAACTGGACAAGTAGTTTACAGCTGCTAACTATTGTTATTATTATTATTATTATTATTATTATTATTATTATTATTGTAATATCAGAGGCATGCAAGGTACACGCGATGAACGTTCTAATTTGTTCTCTTTTTGTTTTTCTCTTTTTCTTTCATAAGTACAATAAACAAGAGAAATTTTGTTTATTTTTTCGTTCATCTGAAAGCAAATTAATTAACCCTTTTGACTGCCATCTTGAAATCATGTTTTGTCTAGGACGCCATGATACTTTTATTATTCAAAGTAATATAATAATAAATTGATGTTAATAAAACAAATTGTAATTGTTCAATAATACACTTTTTATTTCAAAAGTAATTAACTTTGAATTTTCATTTAGTTTTTTTTTCTTTTTTTACAATTGTAAAAGATTCATACGCTCTGGTCACCAATGACCAACATGGCGTCTCAGGAAAAAAACATGGTAGTCAAAATGTTTTAACTAAAAAATATCATCGTACTAAATTATAAAGCAAAATCAATTCACGCTTCTTTCAATTTATATTGAATGAATATTTTTTTTTTTTTCAATATTTATATGAATAGTTTAATTATTTTCTTTTTTTTTTATGGGTGACCGTGAGCAACGATGTCATATCACGATAGATCATCGTTAAGCCATTCTTTTATTATTAATATCTTGGTTTCGCTCTCTTATTCTTTTTCTTGCTTTTTAACAAGAAATCATGCTCATTGATTGTTTTTAACTAAAAAGATAAAAATAATAATAATAAAAATAAAAAAAAATAAAAATGTATAAATCACATTCGAAGTAGCGCTAATGTACTAAAGACACCATTTTGTTAATAGGTTATACAAGATATCTAACTCATTCGATCAATATTTGCTGCTGACCATATCGCAGTTGTCATCGTGCATGCATTTGCATGACATTTATATTATGCAATGTGAATATATATTTGAATATTTCACAGAATAGTTTCTTTTTAAATAGATTACAATTTTTTATTCGAAATTTTTTTGACTTTCTTTCTTTTTTTTTTTTTTGTTTTTGTTTGTTTTATTTTTGTTTATTCTTAATATTCGTATCAATAATTTTTCCCTTTTTTTTTTCTTGTTCTTTATTCCTTTATGCGGTCAGCAGCTGGTAAATTTCATGCTACTTTCTTCTTGTTGGTTTTCTTGCTGCGAGGTAGAGTAGCGAAACTTGTTATCTGAAAACAAAATGGAAGATGACATCATTTTGATTAATCAATTAATACAAATTATGTTTTATTAACATTAAGAAAATAAAAAAAATAAAAAAAATATTAGGTTAGCAAGTAAATAATTGCGGATTTTGCCGATAGGTGGCTTTTTAAACTCAACAATGACTTAATTACCAACCTAATATATATACTAATTTAATTACTAATTTGTGTAAATTGTATAACAGCACATGACCATCACATTCTGTTAACTATTTCAAATGTTGTTTTCTCTTCCTTTTTTTTTCACACACAAATTTTAGAAAAAAGAAAAAATGGTTAACATGCAATGTAAATGGTAGAACACGTTAATGTGTTTTATGTGTTAAATTTATCTAACACACAAACATTAGTTATATGTTATGAAATTTGTTGAATTCTTTCATACAATTACATTGAATCAACTCTTCGTTTTTGCCATGTTCCAGAGTACTCTAAAGTGATTGGTAGAGTCAACAAAAATAGGATAGGATTAAGGAATTGATATTTTTAGATAGTATCTTCATTAAAGTAAACTTTCCTTGAGGCACCAGGTGAATGTGACATTTGTGGTATTAATATACGTTTTACTGAAGTCACTTTTGCATCAGAATTTTCCATTTTATCAGACGAAGTATCTTGATTACAGTTATCAGAAGTAGAATCTTCTGATTTATTGTTGTCAACATTACTTGTAATCTCATTGGTTGTAGTAATATCTTGAGAACCAACGCTGACAGATCTCGATCTGGAACTATATTCAGAAACAGATGGACTGGTGTCTTCATCTTTATTGGAACCACTTGAATTTTTGTGAAAAGCACCATGAAATATATTTTTTGGTATTGATAACAGTTTGGTGATACCATCCTTGCTTCGTTTCTTTTTTTTATTTTTTGTTTGAGATGCATGAGCTATAAAAACATCTTTGGCATTGTTAACAGTTGAGAAAGTCTTTACCATGCCAGTTTTGATCACCAGGGTTGCTTTCAATGCATTTTCAGATTCAGTGCTATCCGAGAGGACATCGTCTTGAGTTAAAACAGGTGCCTTGGGTGCCAATTTTTTATTATATTTACCAGCACGATCATTGCAATCTGATTTACTTCGAGTTACATTTGTCGTTGACCAAATGTTTGAGGAATCAATGTTTTCTAAATTTCCTAAAGATTCTGCTTTGTCTGAGATTAACTTATCAATCTGATTTAAATTTTCTTCAGATGATACCAGCTTTGTGACAGTTTTGTGTGCGCTATTTAAAAGTTCTTTCAATTCGTCTAGTTTTTCTCGACAAATTTCATCCTTGATTTTATTAATATCCACATTGGCGTCAGTTGTTTGAAAAGAATTTGTAATAAGTTGGGGGGTCATTTCATTATTCTCCTTATTTTCCATATCTTTTTGTTGAAGATCTGATTGTTCGTTGGATGATGGTTTTGTTAAGATTTCACTTGATCTTTGACAATCCGTCAAGTTGTTGTTATCTATTTCCAAAAGTTCAGTCTGAGGTTGTTTATTATCAGTTTCTGATGATAAATTTGGTATGAACCAAACCTCAGACTCTTCAGATGATGATGATTTAGATTCATCTCTTTCATTTAAATTATCTAATAATTGTTCGTTGCTATCAGACTTACTAATCATTCGATGATCATCGTTCTTATCGAGAAGTAACAAAAGTTGATGAAGTTGATCAGGAGTGAGGAGGGTTAATGGCGATGGAAGAAGAAGGTCGTCGTTCTTGGATTCCTCTTCAGCATCCTTCAAATATCATAATCGTTGAGTAGAATTTTATTTTTCATGTTCTTCTGAATCGTATGAAGATAAAATATGATGAAACACGGTGTCATAAGTTATGACACAATGTTTAAAACAAATCTCGGACGACAAATAAAACGTAAAAAAAAAAAACAAAAAACAAAAGTTTTCAGAGTGACATATTTCCAATATTTTTCTAATAAATGTTTCCAATATTTTTTTTATGGATTAATTGAAATACCAACCTCTGGTGTCTTTTTTGCTGTCGAACGAGGCTTCACACGTGTCCTAGCTCCTACACTTGATGTTCTAACCAAAGCATCACCTTGGGATGCTATTCGATGAGATTGCAGTGCTTCACCACTGCTGTATCCGCTTGATATATCATCGGAGGACCTGATATTACTGAAATATTATTTATTTATTAAAATTATCATTATTGTTGAGTGATTTGTTTCAAATCTTTGCACTCGAGACCCTTTTTCGTTTGAGCTAACCCAATAATTCGAGATAACATTACTCAAGATGCATCCTAGGTGTTTATCAGGACACCTGTTACAATAATATATTACTTCCGGCCTACCTCCAAGTGTATTACGATCAGAGCAAACCTTACAGTCCCTTTGCAATTCTTTAAGTATATCTTAAAAGAAAAATCTTATCACAAATCGTAAATAAGCAGATAGAGTAATCTAGGGACTTGAAATCAGCCGCCGGGCGCCGTATCGGCGCCGTTCGAGTTGTCACACTTAAATCTGCCTGATGCTAATTCGGCGTCACTCGAGTGCAAAAGGGGGAGGGGGGTTAAATATTCATATGTAATATAAATTTGCATACGTTAAACTAGCTATTGGTTCTCTAGGCCTTGGCTGGATCATATCAACGTCTACTTCAGAAAAGTACATTTCTACTCTATTGGTACTGGATTGAGTCCTTCGTGGACTGTATCCTCTTCTTCCTACGTGTTCTCTTCGGCGAGGTTCATCTAAAAATTATATCAATCATATTAAATATACATTGAAATATAAGTTTATCGATAAACAATTACGCACAAGAGTCAGTGCGTGATAGATGCCGTATATATCCGGCGCTTATACGTACAAGAGTCATCGTCGTGGTAGATGCCGGATATATACGGCGCTCGTACACACAAGAGTCATTGTGTGGTAGATGCCGGATATATACGGCGCTCGTATACACAAGAGTCATGGTGTGGTAGATGCCGGACATATACGGCGCTCGTACGTACAAGAGTCATCGCGTATTAGATGCCGGATATATACGGCGCTTGTAGGCACAAGTAATCGTCGTGGTAGATGCCGGATATATATGGCGCTCGTATGCGTAGGTCATTGTGTGATAGATGTCGGATATATATACGGCGTTCGAAGCAAAATGGTTTAACACGTTGAGCGCCACGTCAGTCATTGATGACTGACACAAGATTTCACATTGAGCGCCACGTCAGTCACGAGTGACTGACGCTAGACCTTACGTTTGGGCCACGTCAGTCACGAGTGACTGACATTAGATTTTACGTTTAGGCCACGTCAGTCACAAATGATTGACACCCAACTATTTATTCAATACAAAGAAACGTCTGTGGCTTGACGGGAATTTTCGTAAAAATTTGCGTAGCGTGTTAAACGTGTTGAAACAAAGTATACAGAATACAAAATATAAAAACAACAACCTTCCATGTCAGTCTCGTCTTGTGGTTCAGGTAAGCTTCTATTATCGACATGTTTTCCACCAGTCAAATCACTCAAGCTATAGCTCTTCCTCAATTGTTGAACTAATCCACCGCCCCCCTGAAAAATATAATCATCATGAAAATGATGAAAATAAAAAGTAAAAATTGTTTATGAATGAATGACGATGAAGAGACATTTTATTTATTTATTTTTATTTTTTTTTTTTTTTTTAATGTAATGATTAAGAAAATAAAAAAGAAAGAAAGAGAAAGAGAAAGAGAGAGAGAGAGAGAGAGAGAAAGGAAAGAGAAAATGGCAAAAAAAAAATTAAAATCTTACCAACCAAGAAAGGATGTTAATGTGTTATCTGGACCGTCACCAGTGCGAAGGTAGAAAAATGTCCGATGTTTTATTTTTTTTTTTATTTTTTTTTTTTAAATTATTATTTATTTTTTTTTTGAGGGTGAGAGAGCAACAACGTTAATAAAAGTCTTCTCTTGTTCGTTTTCTTTATCCATAGTTTGGCTAAAAAAAAGCTTCAATGCGTCCACGTGATGATAGATTAACCATCTTTGCGTTAACATTTATGATATTCATGTTAAAATGAATTATTTATTATTATTATTGTGTTCGGTTTGAATCATCAGCCAGAGAGAGAGAAAGAGAGAGAGTCAGAGTCAGAGTCAAGTATTATTATTCTTATTATTATTATTATTATTATTATTATTATTAAAAATGACTTTTTTAGCGAACAATTGTCAAACGCAAATATTAATTAAAAATTATATAGAAAAAAAAAGGTAATAGAAATATAAAAAGCATATATGTGCGCTGTGCAAAAGAGAGAGAGAGAGAGAGAGAGAGAGAGAGAGAGAGAGAGAGAGAGAGAGAGAGAAAATAAATGAAGGAAATAAAAGAGTGGGTAAAAAGATTGTTTGTTGTTAACAAAAAAAAAAAAAGAAAAACAATGCTTTTTATTTGTAGGAAAAAATGATTAAAAAATTGTTGGTTTGTTTTGTTAAAAAAAATCATCCATTTATATTTCTCATCTTTGGGGGGTTGTTCGCATATTTAAAAAAAAAAAAATTTCTTACATAATAGGAAAAAAATGTGATATTTCTTTCTTCTTCTTAATTATATATATATATATATATATAAAGGGTAATACAAAAAGAAATTATATATTAATATTATTATTATTATTATTATTAATATTATTATACTAAAAATGGTAACACGCACACACACACGCAGTTTGTATAATTATAATTAATTATTATAAAACTAAATGTATAATTAAGAACAAATTAATTATGTCGATCTTTCCTACATATACGATCATTTCATTTCATTTGTTTTGTTTGGTTTTTGTTTATTATAAAAAAGAAAAAAAATAATAAAAAATAAAGGCACAGAAAAAAAAAGAGACTTACATAACTAATATTACTAATTTCTATTCGTGTTTTTTTTTTGCGATTAGTTCATATACACATGTTGGATTGTGTAACTACTAACATACATGTGTATATATATATATATATATATGCATATATATAAAATCGTTCGTTCATTGTGTTTCGAAGAACAGAAGAGAACAAATAATCATAAAATCTGTGGTTTGTGCGCATTGTAACGAGTTACATTAAAATTTCAGACTTTAAACATGAGTTTTTTTTTTTATATATACATACACAAAATACATATGTATGTATGTATATACATATATATATATATAATCGGTAACTTTCGTATTTACTTAATCGTAAATTAGATAACAGTAGATAGATAAATAAAAGAGTATTTTTAAAAAGCGTAACATGATATAATTATTGCGCTTCTTTTTATTTTAACTACCTTATTATTATTATTATTATTATTTTTCTTTTTTTAACGCATATATGTGCCGAAAGTAAATTATTGGCACGTAGTACAGTCTAGATTTTTTTTGATATAAAGATAAATCTGTAAAAAGGTAAGGATACGTTGATTATTTCAATGGTTTTTTCTTTTTTTATCGTAAAATATTGAAATATTGGTTATAAAGCATATTATAATTTAAACTAATTAAAAATATGTAATAAACAACACTCCTTGTATACTTCATTGATCTAAAAGATCCAACGATAGAAAATATTAACCCTTTGCACTCAAAACCCTTTTCTCTAACCCAAGCAAACTCGAGACGATTTCATCAGCCTAAATTAAAGGAAACATTTGACATGTAATTTAAAGTCACATTTATAAACAAACAAACGTATATACAAAATCATCAAATTTCATTCAATTTATTTATTTTGACATCAAATTTGAGAAATATTATACTCTGTAATTAATTTTTGTATTGATATTTCGTAAAACTCATTTAATATACTCAAGATGCATCCTAGGGTGTTTATCAAGACACCTATCACAATAATATGTTACTTGTGGCCTATTTTCAGGTGTATTACGATCAGTGCAAACCTTACAGTCCCTATTCAATCCTTTAAGTATATTTTAAAAGAAAAATGTTATTACAAAACATAAATATGCAGATAGAGTTAACAAAAGACCTGAAATCAGCCGTCGGGCGCCGTATCGGCGCCTCTCGAGTTGCCACACTTAAATCTGCCGGGCGCTGATTCGACGCAACTCGAGTGCAAAGGGTTGCATTATTGATGAAAATAAATTCATTTGATATTGTTTAAAAAACATCAATTATGTTTAATATATTTTATGTATTATTTCCTTGATATATTTAAAAAAAAAAAAAAAGTGAGGTTAATATCGGATTAATTAGATTAATAATTTATATGAGGAGTGTTGTTAATTTTATTTGTTTAAATTGTCATTATTATTGTTATTATTTTGTTGTAGTATTTTTTTGTTTGTTTGTTTAATTTTGAAATATACCAAAACTAATCATATACCTGTTGTAACACCGTAAAAAGGTCAGGTGTGTTTCTTGTAACAGTGAAACGATCAAGTTTATACGAAATTAAAAATAAATAAATAAAAAAAAAAAAAAAAGGAGAATTCTTGTCATCAACAATAAAACTGTTGTTATTGTTGCTAATGAAATTGTTAGTAGACTATTTATAGGATTTATTTTTTAACATTTAAATATATATATATACAACATTTTGATTTTTTAGGTTAAGTTCGACAGTCCTATTTGTTTTCGATATGTTTTTTCATTCTCCCATTTTTCTTTTCTTTTTCTTCTTCTTCTTCTTCTTCTTTTTCAGTCTGATTTGTCTTTTATTTATTTATTAATTTTCTTTTTTTTTATTCTTTCGATTCGTTAAACCTGAAATTCTGTTCTTCAAAATGGTTCCTCTTCATTGTATGAAGCGTTGTCAAAAATATTCATCTTTGGAAATAATATTCAGTCGTTCCATATTCTTCATTGAAAAATAAGAATTACATTCAAGTTGCATCACATGCGCTATTGTTGATTACTTGTCATTTTTTTCTTCCTTTTTTTCTTTTCTTTTCTTTTTTCAAGTCTTCTTCCATCGTGCAGCCATTTTAATCTGCGATCGATGCTGCTTCCATGTTGTTTTGTTGTTGTTGAAGTTGATGTTGCTGAAGTTGTTGTTGGCTGAGCTAAAATTCGCCAGATATTTCATTGGCTCGATTTAATTTGATTAATTTGAAATTTTTTTTATTTATTTTTTTTTTATTTTTTTTATTTTTATTGAAGTTTCTGTTCTTGTTCTCTCATATTTTTATTATTATTACATATATATATTTTTTTTTTCAAATTTTAATATCGTTGGATATTCTTTTTTTCTTTTTTCTAGATCGATCGAGTATACGAGAAGTATTGTTGTTTATAAATAATAATTATTAGTATTATTATTAATTAAGAAGAAGTATGCAGTTTTGTTAATAAACACAGCAACGAATGAGAAACAATATTATGATGTTTTTGATTTAAAAATTAGTTTTGAAAAAAAAAAAAAATATACGAAACATAGGTTGTTTGTTTGAAGTTAAAATTTTTGATGATATATATATATATGACAATGATGATGATTATTATTATTATTATTTTTTTTTTATGCCTCCTTATGATGATTCATGTCTTTTATGACTRTATTGATTTGTTTTTTGTTTGTTTGTTTGTTTTTTTTTATTTTTTTCGTTATAAAGGGTGATATCGGATCTGCAATCTTGTAGCGTGCGAAGGGGGAAGCAGGCGAGTTTAACGAAAACAGAAAAATCATGAACAAATATACAAATGATTTGTGATTTAGCAATGGCTTGTGTGTGCATGTGTGTATGTGCTTGAAAAAATTTAAGCGAGGAGATTAGGTTTGTTTGTTCCTTTTCTTTTTTTTTTTTTTTAGAATACTATTATCCCAATCACAGTCATTTTTAGTTAATGGAATTCAACCCCTTTTTTCACAATCAAAAGACACCATTTTTATTATTTGTTTTTTTCGAGTCATTGAACAATGAAAATAAAATTAATAAAATAAAATATAAAACAAAAACACATTGCCGCCATTTTGGTTTTAAATGGTTTTCGTTTAAAATATAATTAAATTAAAAATAAAATATAAAATAAGAAAGAAATTAAATTCAAAGCAAATACATTGTCGCCATTTTGGTTTTCAGAATCCTATTAAACCAATTGTTGCAACCAATTTTTAGATTAATTTTTAATTCATTTAGTTTTGATTTATAAAAAAAAGGGTTAATATATGGTGATACATAAATATAATGAAACATTAATTTTTAATTAAACATATATAACATACAAATTTATAGGTTAGAATGATGACCATTCTCGTAAATGAGAAACAAAGGACGTATGAATGAAACAATCTCGATAAAGTTAATACAAAAAACAATTTTCCTTTAAAAAAAAAAAAAAAATGAACAACAAATTATTTGTAAACCTTTTTGTTAAACATAAAACAAAAAAAAAACATACAAAAAAAAAACGTGAACGATAGAAAAAAAATAATTTGAAGCTACACATCTCCTCGCTTATTATTTTTTGTTTTTGTTTTTGTTTTCTAAATCTATGAGAAAAAAAAATTAATGATAATAAAAAAAAAAAAAAAAAAAAAAAAAAAAAAAAGAATATTACAAAGATAATAATTGTATTTTATGGCTAACCTTGATAGCGGTTTGCATGAGTACAGTTGTAGCATAATTGACACCCCTAGTGCCCAGATGTAGGACAGCTTTGTAACCCTGTTCTGTGGCACGTGCAAAGGCCTCGTCTATTTCAGCTTCGTGTCGTGTTAATGCGGGATGTACGAAGCGTCGATATAAAATACTTGAGCCCTTAGTCGTTGGGCTCAACAACCACAGCACCAAAATTATCTTGATTTCATAATAAAATGGGAACCTAAGTGATGACAATGACAAATCAATTTACTAATTTATTTTCTAATATATAACAATGTTAATTTTGTTTCTTCTTAACCTCTAATCTTCAAAAAGTACTTTAAAGCTTGTCTTGAAATTTTTGACAATAACAAAGTTGGCATTAGAATACAGTTAGGTTTTTATTAGAGTTATTTATTTAGAAAATAAATAATTAATTGAAAAAAAAGAAACAGAAAAAGATACACAAGTAAGTTCAGTGTTATCTGTTGGTCATAGATTTCGATAAGTGCGTGAAACGTTTGAATATAACCTAACTTTTATCTATACAACGTCATATTTGAGCTCAATTCGATGCAAAAAAATGATTGAATATTATTTAAATGAAAAAATAAACAAAATCAGGAAAAAAACATTAAAAAAACAATGCACGAATATTCAAATTATGTCTATAGAATGAATAAAAAAACTGTAAAACATTAAATATTGCATTATTACGATTTAAACCCTAAAATTTATCGAAAGAAAGGAATAAATTAAAAAATAATTAATTAATTTATAAAAAAAACAACAGAAAAAGATACAAGTAAGACTAGCGCCATCTGTTGGTCATAGATTTCGATGAATGCGCGAAACATTTGAACATAACCTAACATTTATCTATACAACGTCATATTTGGGCTCAATTCGATGCAAAAAAATGATTGAATATTATTTAAATGATAAAATAAACAAAAGAAAGTAAGGTTAGGTATAATTTTCTTTTCTTTTTGATCCAAACGATGAAAGAATGCAGAATAAAACAAATTCAAGCGTACAAAAGAAGAAGAAAATGCAAAACGTTTTTATATATAAAAAAAAAAAAAAACCCAAACCAAAGAGAGTGAGAGAGAGAGACCACCAGAAATATCCCAGTTTTTAGTTTAATTTTTTTGTTTGATTTGTAATTCGAGCACGAAGAGAGATTTGGTATGAGAAAAAGAAGAAAAAAAAAAGATGAGTGAGAGAGAGAGAGAGAGAGAGAGATGAGAGAACGCAGCAAATGGTAAAAGAAGGAAAATAAAAAAAAAAGAAAACAAACAAGAAATGAAAGAGAAAGAAGGAGAGAGTTAGGGCTGATTCCTCAGAAGTGCATGTAAGCCAATATCTATCCAGTCCGAAATTAGACTTTCGGAATTCCCTGGTTGTACCGTTGAAGAAGAGAGTATGAACCATGCGGTCTTGTCGGTTTATTGGCCTCGTAAAATCTGCTAACTATGATTTTCCTGGCGCCATATTACTTTAAACAATTTTCAAATATATTTGCTCAAAGAATTTTTAATCTTCCACTCCCCCCCCCCCCAATATGAGAATACCACACATCCTGTTTTGATTTGAATTTTCTTTCCTTTTTTGTTATTTTTTTTTTGTTATGTTTAATTTATGTATCTATTGTATTTGAGATGAGAAAGGGGATGGATGAGGACTTGGATTCTTACCAAAAACTAAAAAATACGTCCGTGAATGTCTCTGCACATGTGAACAGAGCGAATACGATCCAGTACATCATCCATTTGACCTAAACAAATAAAAAATATTTACAAATATTATTTTTTATTTAATTCAATGATAATTTGTTTTGTATATTTAGTTTTTTTTTTTCAGAAGTATACTATAGTTAATAATTAATTTAATACTCAGATTGCAATTGAACAATGCAAATAGATTTATTTGATTTTTTATTTATATTTTTGTATTAGTTTTGTTGATTGCAGTTGATTAACTTTATCAAAGTTTAGGTTTATAATGTAAATTGGGTTCTTTTTTTGTAGTATGATGATGATATTCTTCAGAAGTATACTATAGTTTATAATTAATTTAATACTACTTAAATTATTTATACTTTTGTATTAGTTTTGTTGATTGCAGTTGATTAACATTATGAAAGTTTAAGTTTTAGGTTTATAGCGTAAATTGGGTTGTTTTGAAGTATGATGATGATTATACTGCATATTGGCATTAATTAAACAATATAGCTTTTATTTGTATTTCCATTGTACAATTACAGATTTAAAATGAAAAAGAAATAAAACAAAAATGAAATGTTTGAGTATTAAAACAATGTTGTTGCAGTTGATTAATAAAATTACCAAAGTTTAGGTTTGTTTATTGTATAAATTGGGTTTTTTTTGAAGTATGACGATGCTAATAGTGCATATTGGCATTAATTAAACAATATAACTTTTATTTGTGTTTCCATTGCACAATTACAGATTTAAAATGAAAAAGAAATAAAATAAAAATGAAATGTTTGAGTATTAAAACAATGTTGTTGCAGCTGATTAACATTATCAAAGAGTTTAAGTTTATAAATTGTAAATTATAATTGTAAATTGGGTTCTTTTTTTATAGTATATTTTTTTGTATTAATTTTATTTTTGTTTTCATTGCACAAATGTTTCTTTTAGTTGGGACAGATTTACAAAAAAAAATAAAACAAAATTGAAGTGTTTGAGTATTAAAACAATGTTGTTGCAGTTGATTAATAAAATTATCAAAGTTTAGGTTTGTTTATTGTATAAATTGGGTTCTTTGTTTTGCAGTATGCATTTTTCTTTGTAATATAAATTTTTGTTTTGTTTTTATTGCATAAGTGTAATAATTAGTACAGATTTAGAAGAAAAAAAAAAAAAAAAAAAAAAAAAGAAACAAAACCCAATTGGCTTAATTTTGAGTATTAAAATAAATGATAGTTGGTAGAAATTTAAAAACAAAACCGAATTGGTTTTATTTTGAATATTAAAATGAGTGATTTAAATAAAATAAAAATGATTGTATTGAAATGAATTGGTACTCACATATTCTTTCACATTTTGGGTGCGTACAGCTTTGTAGGAGGCATACGCGGGATATAAAGTACCAAAGCCTAATCTGAAAATTGGATACAAAAGTATATAAGTCAATGTTTTGGGTAAAACAATAGCAAGTAGGACCACAAGTATGCCCAAGTTGCATAATGTAACACGAATAGGAAGCCTATCAACAGAATCCTGTGCCCAAGTGATCAAATGTTTCAGAAATATTCGCGTTAGGTTTCTTCGATGAATTGCAGTTATTTGAAGGTCCTCTTCTTCATCGTCATCATCATCATCATCATCATCAATCTTATTAATCTTTCTTGTTCTTTTTAACATTAACTGATCATTTCTATAATCCATTTTTATTTTGTTTATATTTTTATTATTTGATTTCGTTTTCTTCGCTTGTATTCAAAATTCTTTGTCCAAATCGTCCGATATTTTCAATCCGATTCGATATTAAACTGCAATGTTAACAAAAACAACACAAAATTAATCAATTTATATAAAAAACAAGTGTTTCTAATAAAATGTAAAAATGCGCTTACGAGAAAGAATTGGAAGAAAATTTAAACAAAACACACATGAAGAAACTTAAAATTCGTTTTACAATTTTACGTTTGATCAAACGTAAAAAGAAAACAATAAACAAATGGGATTATTGTTGAATATTTCAATGAAATTAATTGGGGTATCACGAGGACTTGTTGAATTACATTCTTTCAACCATTTAAATGGTTACTTTTGTATTTTTTTTTTTTTTTTTTTTTTCCCCCAATATAGCACAATGCAATTAACTTTTAACAATCATCTTGAAATTGTATCGATGATTATTTGTTCATCGATGATATTTTCTCTTTTCTCTTTTGTGTTTAAATAATAAATTTTTAATTCCAATGAAATTATTGTAGTATGTAATATTTTATAGGGGTTTTTTTTTTAAACAAAAAAATTATTATAACAACCAATAAATAATGAAATTGTTAGACAAAGTTTGAAGCTGAGTTGTTCACTTGGATGCCTCCAGTCAAAGACTAAACTTGTAACCCGTGATGATCTGGCAGGCCACGCGTCACACACACATGGAATATATACACATATACACACTTATATGTATATAAGGCATATGCACATAGGACATTGAAAGAGAGAACACACAGGGCCAGAAGAAGATGATCGTAGTCACCAATGTGTGTCCAATGTGTGTGTTCAGTAGACTTCTATTTTCGCGCTTTTAAAGCCGTTGTTACGAGCTCAGTTAAGAGTAAGAGAGATAGAATTTCTAATGAAAGATAAAGAGAGAATGAGAGAGAGAGAGAGAGAGAGAGAGAGGATTATACAGTGTGTGTCAGTTGATTTTATAAACTGGACTGGAGGATGTAGGCAATTTATTGACTGTTAATTGGGCACCAACTTATTTGGTGTCTATTCTTTTCGAATTAAATGACACTGACTTGTTAAATAATAAGAATATTAGTATTAGTCAGATATATTTTATTGGTGCATGAGTGTGTATGGGGGTATTGTCATCTTATGGTTCTAAGAAAAATAATGTGAAGATAATTTGTTAGATTTTGTTTTAGAAAGTTTGATGGAAATATCAAATTGTATGTGGCTTATAATTGTGAAAGTGGGGTGGGTGGATGGTTGGGGGGTGATTGTAAGTTATATATTTTAAGCAATAGATATGTAATTAAGTATATGGTAGTATAAATATATAGTTAATATATATTAATATATATTAAGTATATAGCAGTATAAATATATAGTTAATATGTATTGTATTATATACTATATTAAATATAGTTACTTACTTGACTATATTAATTATATTAATTAAATATTAATTGAATATATTATAATATTATAATAAATACTATATTAACTAAATTTATTATATATTAATATATATATTATAATATTAAATATAGTTACTTACTTGACTATATTAATTATATTAATTATATTAATTATATTAATTATACATTAATTATATATATTATACTATTATAATAAATTATATATATTTTAATAAATACTATATTAACTAAATTAATTATATATTAATATATATAATAATAATAATATATAATATATTACCTAAATTAATTATATATTAACATATATTATAATATTAATATTATATTTACCTAAATTAATTATATATAATAATATATATTATAATATTAATATATAAACTATATTCAATGAAATAATAAATATATATATATATATATATATAAATAATATTCCCCCGTGGGGGTGGCGGGGAAGAATACCCCCTCAGTAATCCCTGCTTTTTTAAAAGTGCTGTCGTAAAAGTCGACTAAAAGGGAAACCCAGGAAAAAATGGATAAAAAATAACAAAAAAATATATAAATAACAAACATATATATATATATTATCTAATTAAATATTAAATATAAAAAATAATAATAAAATGAATTGTTAATTTGCATTGGATGAACATAGGTGTTGGTAGTGTTGGGTTTTTTTTTTTAAAACGAAAGACCTTTGTTGGAATTTAAACGATGCATGTAGAAATGAACTGCAATGATCTTGACCTTGGTTAATATAATACTCACACTATCTTATAAATACTAATGTAGAACTTTTCCGTGTTACGAGTATATATATACATACACACATACACACACACACACACACACACGTTTGTTCTAATAAAACTAGAGACTTTCAATGAAAGAAAAACATTTATGTATGTTTATAAGTTTATAACTTAAAACTTTTTTTTTTCTTTTTCAAATTTCTAATTCATAAATATTGTCATCGATCTTTTTTTTACTTTTACACTGTTTGTTTTTTCTCTCCATATTTTGTGTAAACATAATAATAATAATAATAATAATAATAATAATAATAATAATAATAATAATAATAATAATAATAATAGAACAAATGGAAAAGCAATACGAAGTAAACGTATCGAATATCTTGTGTGTGTGTCACGTTCGTCATATGCAAATCATTTGATTAAAAAAAAAAAAAATAAAAATGAGAGACAGAGAAAGAAAGAAAGAAAGAAAGAAGGAAGGAAGGAAAGAACAAAAAAAAAGTGCATTTGAGGACGGTCGATTATGCAATTGTAGCAAACGCGACATTGATAACTATCATCGAATTACCTGCGACGCATAATCGCACGTAGAGTTTTGTAGAATTGTCATCGTGTTCATTCGATGAACACAATTCGAATTGAATCAAATATAATAATTAATTATTAAAAAAAAAATATATATATATATATTAATTTATATTTGTCAAATGAAATAAATCAAAATATAAATCAAAAGAAAAAATATATCATGAAATTTGAATGAATTTCAATGAAGACGAATAATTGCATAATTTAAGAAAAAAATATTCCCAAAAAAATACACAAAAAAAAAACAAAAAAATAAAATAAAATATATTTATAAATAAAGGATCATTTTAAATAATAATAATAATAATAAAAAATACTAGGAACATTATTAATAAAAATTTACTCTAGGAATATTAATAATCAAAAAAAAAAAAAAATACTAGGAACAATGGTATTCCCCAACGTTTGATTAAATAACTGAAATAACATTTATCGTAGGGGAATTTTTTTTTTTTTGTTAAATAAAGAAAAGAAATAAAAAAACAAGGAATATATTTTAAACCATGTCATAATGAAGTCATTGTTTCGTTTAAAACACTGCACACATTGCATATTGTTAGTTAACCCAATTACCGTATGAATCCCATCATGGTATACGTGTGTATGTGAGAGTGTTTGTATGGTAAATTTAAAAGACCTCTTTGATGATAAATTAGCACTCCATTTTAATCCAATGGCCATTAAGATTAAAATAGAAATAAAATAGGAGTTTATAAAATGGGATTTAAATAAAAAAACAATAAAATGTAATATTTTTAATAATAAAACTTTTGAAGTTTTGTTAAACGTTAATGTCATGAACGTTTTTATTAGCCAAGAGTTGAGAATGTTGTTCATCTAGTTCATCAACGATGAGCCAACCAACCAAACCAACCAACCAACCAACCAACCAACCAAACCAACTAAGCAACCTCTGACAAAATTGTCGTAATGAGGACACGTTTGTGATATTTTGAGACGAGGACGAGAGGTGCATCAACCTGTTCCTTGGACAAGATTCTAATACTATATATATATATATATAACCATTTAAACTTTAGATGAAAATATCTAACCTAGAATGATATCTGATTTTTGTCTCGTTGATGCATAAATTATTTTTTTTTTTTTTTTTTTAAATTAGATTATTGGTTAAATTAATATTAATATGAGTTAACATGAGGAAGAATTATTATTTATATTTTTTGAAATAATTTATCTATGAAAATAATAAGAAATGTTAAATTTGATTCGACAGTTCAATTTTATGATGATTGATTGTAATTCTAATCATGAAATTATTTTATTTTATTGTTCAATTATTTTGTTATTTATTTGATTTAATTTAATTTTATTTTGTTGTTCAATCACTTTTATTTTATATTATTTTACTAGCTGACCCGGCAAACGTTGTTTTGCCATATAAATTATTTCTAGTGAATATTTTGATAGTCAAATAAAAAATTAGTAACTTATTGTGTGTGGGGAGGATGTGGTCTATGCTTGAAAGAGGAAAATGGTTGTGAACAATGACGGCTTATAAAAATAACAAAACATCCATTTTTTTAATTTATTGTACTTTATTATTTTAATTAATATATTTATAATTATATATCTATCACTAATTATAACAATAAAAAAAAAAAACAATCAAGTTATTGACCACCAAGGGTTGAAAATTATTAAAGTACTAATATCGTTATTAAAAAATGGGGGTTGGTTGTAGAAGGGTGCAAATTTAGGGTTGTAAGCATTTTTTAATGCCAAATCATAAAAAAATAAAAATAAAAAATTTTGTCCAAAAAATAAAGAAAAAAATTTTTGGGGTGGACCACCCTTCTCACTTAGGGGTATGAAAAATAGTTTACGTCCTATTCTCATACCAACCGAATATACACACAAAATTTCATAAAAATCGGTCAAGTTGTTTCGGAGGAGTTTGACTACTAACACTGTGACACGAGAATTTTATATATTAGAAGAAGATTATATTTTATTGTACAATTAATTTAATTTCATTTACTTTTTTAATTTAATTCTAATCATCATTGCAATCATGAAATTTATTTAATTTAATTTTATTGTTTAACTTTTGTTAGGATAAATAAAAATAATTTGTGTTCTTTTAATTTTTTTTATTGATTTATTTTGTTATATTTAGAATAGTGTATGAATATTGTTTGTATAATAAATTGCATGCTGATGAGTAAGCCAACTAATTGTCCTTCATAACTATTGTTACAATCACGTGACATTGAAAATAAAATTTACTATATCATCATCTTCCGCATTGTTATTTTGTTATAATTAATTATAAAGGGATGAGAGAATCTAAGTTGAAAATAATTTTCATTCAAATCACACAAACATTTTCATTGTATTTTCATATTATTTCAAAAAAAAAAATTCATACAAAGTAATATTTTGTGTTGCAGTTATTGTCTTAAATATTACAATATATATAATAATAAAAAGATAAACAAACTTACAATTAGATTATATATCATTTTTTGTGAAATTTTTGTGTTAAATTATATTCAAAAAACCAATTTTTATATTTTATTAAAAACCCTTCAATAATTAACCCTCAGTCATTTTTATCAACTTTATATATATAAACATTAATTACAAAATAAATTGAAAATATTTTATTTTATTTTATTTGTCACATTTTAGAATTCAATTTTTCTCAAAAATTATTTGTACACACACACACATTAACACATCATATATACTCATACAAACACACACATATTTTTACGAGTTAGAGGGTTGGTCAATTATAAATCTTTGATTGATTAATTATAAACAAAGAAATAATGAAAGACAAAATTGTTCAATATTTTATTGTTTTGCTTTTTTTTTTTTATCAAGATTTTGGTATAATTTTCAAAGGAGCAGGTAAAAATACAACAGACACCGAATTAACAACGGTAACACGTTTGAATATTGGTAAATGAAAATTTCGTGATACCTGTGTCGGTGTTGGTACCTCCACAGGTGTCGTAGTTTTTGGTGGTAAGAAACACGTCATTTCGACAATT